AGGGGACTCTGCTCCAGGTAGCCAGAACAAGGTCCTGAGTCCATTGCCAAAGAGATTCTCATCTTTCTTCATTCCATTAGATCACTCTTTGATGTCACAGGACATTTTGTAGGGAAAACATATGCCAAACTTTCCCCCCTAATATCTGCAATGCTCCCACCGATAAATCATGGAGGAGAAAGCCCCTATTTGGAAAGTCCTAGGTGACGAAGTTTGTGGCCCTTACTTTGTGTTTTCATTCTCCCTCCCTTAGTTCTCTGAAGATCCCTCCATGAAGTCATCATAAACTCTAAATCCCCATCTGAGAATACAACATAAAGAATTCCACTCCTCCACTTAATAAGCCCAAACTCACTACCTTGTCACCTATTGCACTGAGATGTTGCAATGATTGAGCTGGAGAAGAAACTTGAACTCCCTTTCCAGAAAGGTCCTGGAGGCTCATTGAGCAGGAGCAGCTGAGAGCCACTTTTGGTGGGTGGTCACATTTTTAAATACTTTACACCATTAACAATGGTTCTCTCTTGGAGGTGGGTTTACCCACTACATTCTGTGTCTTTATATTTCTGTATTGTTTGGATTTATTAGCCACCTGTATTATGTGTGTAATTTAACAAATATGCATATAAGCACATACTTAAACCCATCGGAGATATTTTTCTTGTCACCAAAAAAAGAGTGTGAGGTATGCAGAGTGCAGGAGCTGCAGGGAACTTTTGAAATAGACCCTTACTCCAACTAAGATCCAGCAGCAAGAGCCTCACCTGAGAGCTTGTTAGAAATGTAGACTCTCAGATCAACCCTAGACCTGCTGAATCAAAAACTGCATTTTGACAGATCCCAGGGTGATTTTTATATACACATTACCATTTGGAAAGTCTTGATCTAGTCTAGCCAGCTTCCATATTTTTGCTACTAAGGAAACAGGAGGGGTAGGAGGAATCATTTGTCAAAAGTTCACGCAGCTTGTCAGCATCTGAACTAAGGCTTCAATTCCTCTCATTAGAGTCCCAGACCAGGACTCTTTCCATGCCTTCAGGTTGCCTCTCCAGCTTGTGGTCTTCCTAGAACCTTGGCTTATTTTTCTATACTTTATAAGTGAATGCATTCTAGGTCTCAGGGCAACATAGAAGGTGAACACTAGTCTTGCAATACTGCTTAATTCTGCTGGGTGAGATAAAGCACTACAGTCTGAGAACTTGGTCCACCAGCCCTGGACTGGCCCCAAATCATATTCTAATAGTGTTTGAGAGAAAGCCTAAGGTGGATTGAGGAAAGAGTGAGGGCAGAAAATCCGACAGGCCCAGTGATATCAGGGCATCTCCGGAAACTCAGGGGCAGGGGAAATGTTTGGGAATCCCCTAGTTATTGGTTCCCATTTGTGCAGGTGCTGGAATGAGTCAAATGCTGGCTGCTGTGTGACAGAGAAGGGAATCACCTGTGATTGAGTATAAAGTGTGTATGCAAGTGTGAACCAGCTCAGCTGTTTAGAATTTGAATTTGGCCCCCTATATACTCATTCAGATGAGACCGTCCCAGCCTATTGGCACGTCTGGGGGAAGAAAGCCTGGATCTGCAGTGTTAGCTGCTCCTATCGACCAGAAGCCATCCTGAGACTGGGATAGACCTGACTCAAGACAAGCCTGAGTCCAGCTCCAACCAGAAGAGGGGCCAGATCAGAGAAAGGCCTCCCCAGGGCTACATGTCTAAAGCCAAGGGGTTCCTGCCTAAGACCTTGGGAGGCCAAAGGTGCAGGTTGAGCCAAAAGTCCATGAGAAAGGTCAAGTCCTAAACATCCGAAATGCTGTGTAGAAATTAGCTGCAGTGCAGGGACTGAGCACCGGGAGAAGCCAGCAGGCAAGGAGAATGGTGTGGCTCAGAGCTAAGAGGTGGGTGATGGAGAAAGCTTCGGCACTGGTTCCATCAGTCTCTAGTTGTGTGATCTTGGTGAGTGACTTTTACTCCCAAAGGCATTATGCATCAAATTAATTGATATTATTTCAAGTTAATATTATATGTTTTTGTTCAAAATAAAGCACTGATTTTTATAGGGTGTCAAATATAAACCCACTCCCTACTATGGTCTGAATGTGTCTCCCCAAAACTCATATATTGAAATCCTAGTGCCCAATGTGATGGTATTAGAGGTGGGGACATTGGGAGGTACTTTGGACCTGAGGGTGGGGCTCTTATGAATGGGATTAGTGCTCTTACAAGAGACCCCACAGAGGTCCTTAGTCCCTTCTGACACATGAGGACGATGCAAAGAGAAGTCTGACCCAGAAGAGGGTCCTCACCTGACCATGCTGGCACTCTGAGCTCAGACTTACAGCCTCCAGGACTGTGAGATATAAATATAAGCTACCCAGTCTGTTGCACTTTGTTATAGCAGCCCAAAGGTTTCTGAGAGAGAGGGTTTTTTTTGAGGGGAGGGCAGCGGGGAGAAGGGAGACAAACATTGCCTTACATTCAGGCCTATCAGTGAACTTACTCAAGGTTTTAGTGAGTGGTAGAGGGAGATTCAACAGAGTGTCATCCCAGAGTCCAAGTGTTTGGTCACAAAGCTGAGATATGTCTCCTTCAGGACTACTTGCAGGCTTCACCTGCCCAAGCGCTTCCTTGACCAGTACTCCCTCTTTCCCCCCACATACATGAGACCTATTTAAGCATCCCTGCTCTGCTTCCCTCATAGAACTTAGCACGCCATGCTGTAAGTTGTACAGACTCTTTGAGGGTAAGGACTGTGTCATATTCACCTGTGACCGCAGCATTTAATGCAGTGCCTGACACATAATAAGTGCTCAGTAGAAAATATCTGTTAAATGACTGTATACCCTCAGGATGCAATAAATCCACTTTGCCAGATATAGTGCGTTAGCACCCCCAAATCCATCTCATCCTCTTGTGTAGATCCCTATAATATAGGGGCTAGAAAGGTAAAAGGCACATGTCCTAGACTCCCTTGCAGCTAAGCTCTGGATGTAATTTAGGTTTGGCCAGTCAGATGCCTGAGCATGAATTCTGGAAGGGAGAAGTGAGGGGACAAGCTTCTGCTGCCTCTGCTGCTTCTGTGGAAAGATTAGTCATGAGGATGTCTGGCTTCTCTGCAGCCCAATCAGTGGAGGGCCCAATGCTGAGTTGCTTGATTCATGGGGATCAAGAGTCCAAGCACAGGGTACCCATTTTGTTGGTTCTGACTCTAGCAGGCATAACTTGGCTTTTCCTTGTCCTAGTAGTGCTGGAGTGTTTTAGAACCACAGCTTCCATTCTGTAGAAGGGCCAAGAATAAATGGAAGATCTCTGGATTGCTCAAGACTTTGGGGTCATATCTAAAAGCTCAGTATACTCTGTGTTTCTTCAGTCCTCCCAATGACCCCATAGCCATTTAATATTAGATGTTTCCAGTTAGGACATTTTTTCAGCTGCTTCACCCAGACAAATACAGTCACTTAAACAAGGTAAAAGGCAGTCCAGTGGACTATGGTGGCTCTGTCCCTCAAGGTCATTCAAGGACTCGGTTTCCTTTTTTCTTGGTGCCCTCTCACACCCTAGAGTGCTGCCCTCATCCTGTGGTTGTAGCTGTTCCCCACCATCATGCCCCACATTCCTATATGTGGGAAGTGGGAGAGAAGAAATGCAGGGGAAGCAGCTTCCTTATAAGGAAAAGAATTAAAGCTTCATGCATCCACAGCTTAGCCAACTGGACACTTACAGGATGATCTAAGAAACGGTTCTTGACCCCAGCCATGCTAAAAGTGCGTTAGAATCAGACAGACCTGTGTTTGAGATTCAACTCTCCCTCCTATGACTCTTATTGCTCTATGACCCTGGACCCATTTCTTTACTTTTCTGTGCTTTGATTTCCTCACTGTAAAATACGGATTACAATGGTACTTATTCCACTGGGTTGTTAGAGAATAAATGAGGTAACTCATTATTGTTGTGGAATAAGGTAACTTAGGAAGGCATTTAGCACAGCATGTAGCACAGTAAATGCTCAATAGAGAGTGACTAGATGAGAAAGGAAAAAAAAAAAAAGAAACAGGTTTATGTAGTAATGGGGCAGTGGGAAGGAGGAAGAGACCAACTAGATAAAACCATTTAAACTGACACGATCAAAAATGATTTGCCTACTCAAATCCACAAGCCTGAGTTAGGAAACTGTCATTTTCCTAAAGAGGGGAAGTAAATGAGTTTGTCTGTCAGGAGACAGCAATGCTGTCCTTCCCCTTCTCCTTCCCCAAATAGAACTGCTTTAGGGGAAGGAACATCAAGTTTGATACGTACCTACTGTGTGCAGGATCCTTTATCAAGATCTTTCTTTTATATCCATCCAACATGGAGTAAATTTTATTAACTGCGTTTTATAGAGGAGGAACAAGGACTCGGGTTGAGAGCCACACTGGACATCCCAAGCTCATTAGTGATGGATCTTAGAGTCAGATCCAGCTCTGTTGAGCCCACATCAAGGCTTTGAAGGGCTCGTTTAGTGCCCTTGAGCCTCCCTGGGCCCAGCCTGTACTCACTTTGGCTTGTATGATAACACCATTCAGCACCAGATGGTCTCGGAAAACACTTCATCAATGAGCACAGAATCATTCTCCCTTAAGCTAGGTGGTTAAGTTTTGTTAGCCCCACTTCACCCTCAGAGGAGGCAATTGAGTTAATTACTTGTGCTGAGAGCCCCTTGGTGGTATCAGCTGAGATAATGATCACAGCTAGTGGCTGCCAGCCCCAAACAGAAGCTTTTGTTCACTACATTCCCTCAGAGAAACTCCAGCACTCAATTGCTCATTAACATGATTTGGATAATTTTCTCAACAGCCCTCCAGTGAAACTTCTAAAGAAGAAAACTGTAAAAGCCCATCAGTGCAGATGCCCCCACCACACACACACACACACACACACACACACACACACACACACACACACACACATCTTATACTTTATTTCTCCACAGTGGAGAAAGACAGATCTGCATTGGAATGCTGGCTGGGACAGTCACTTGCTGGGTGATCCTAGTTTACAATGTCCTCTCGCTAGGCCTCATTGCAAAATGAGAATATAATACTGTGTAATTCATGAGTTGTTTCAAGGACTAAACTAGTAATGTCTGCAGAGATGTCCTGGACTGTACCTGGGGTTTAGGTGATGCTTGTTGAGGGAGAGAGGAAGGAGGGAATGGAGAGGCAAAAAAAAGGAAGGAAGGAAGGAAGGAAGAAAGGAAGGAAACAAGGAAAGAAGGAAGGACGGGAGGGAGGGAGGAAGTGGTAGGTTTATTGAATGCCCATTGGGTGGCAGGAAATGCGTAACATTATTTTATTTGATCCTCACAACACTCTTATAAGTAGTCCCACCCTCATTGTACATATGAGGAAACTGAGTCAGGGAGCTTTACTAAAAATTGTACCGATAGTAAAAGCAACGATTCAAACCAAGTCTGGAGGCTTCAAAGACTGATCTCTCTTTTCTCTCTCTCTCCCTCCCTTTTTTCCTCCCTCCCTCCTTCATCCTCTCTTCCTTACTCTTATTTGCCCTTTTTTGTTTCATTCTCTCTCTCATTCACTCTTATTTACTCACTCTCTTTCATTCTTGGTCTCCCTTAGACCATGTAATTTCTTGAAATAACCAACGAGGAAAAAGCAAAGGGAAGAGACTGGACAAAGATATGGAAGCCAGAGCAGCAGATGAGAAGTCTGAACCCTTGTCTTCTGTGCGGACTCTGAGCCTGAGAGGGAAAAAATAGAGAGAGAGAGAGTGGGGAAGGTTAGGAAGGCAGAACAGTCTTTCTTCTATGGGTTTACGTACTGAGGGTCAAGGCCAAACCCAAGGCAAAATTCAACCTCTAAAATGTCTTTAGTAAGTGAGCAGAAAAAGCTCATCTTTTTCGTCTATCCCCATTACATAGGTGAAACTCAAATCCCACCTAGAGACTTGGTCCACATCTCTATCCCTGCCAGTTTAGCACTGAAACTTTGGACAAAGCCCTTTATGTTCTCTGAGCCTGAGTTTATCATCTGTAAAATGGGCATCATAGAAACATCTCTGCTCTAGGAATTTAAATGAGGATTAAATTAGATTGGGCAGGTGCAATGCTCTGCGCCATGCCTGGCACCCAGCAAGTACTTAGTAAGTGCTCAGCATACTAGTACTGCTGCCATCATTAACCCAGTAATAAAGCTCTGTCCCTGGTTTTCTCAAAACTCCTTTCTCTGGCACGTAGGTCTTTTGCAAACGTGAACTTTTCCCTTTCTGCAGACTACCCATGGTGATCTGGCCCCTGTAACTACAGAGATGTCAAGGAATCTTTGTGAATCAGCCATCAAGTGTAGGCTGCTTGACGTGACTGTGGGGTTAACTTACAAGTGACTAATTTTTGGAGGCGCAATTTGGTACCTTCCCACTGGTGGTACCAAGGCTGGGTGTAATTACTGCTGATGAGTTTACTGAGGGGCTCATTAAAGTGTCGGTATTAATATCCATATGAATACCTTCAACAAAACCTTTTGTTCTTAGAGTAGGGGGTGTGGGAGGTAGTTACAGGAACTGTCTTGCTTTTCCAAATTTAATTGTCTAAATACAATGCTGTCTCAGCAATTCAGGATAATTTTTTTCACTCATTCTTTCTTCACGGGGCTCTGCCAAAAGCCTACTTTGGCAACAGAAATGATTAGTTTGTGTTTCAATAAACTTGTTCCACCTGAGTCACTTCATCCCAGCAGGGGCACAGGAGTCAAAATGTGCTCTCCTGAACCAGGTTGAGCTGTTATTTATTAGAGATGTGGCTGGGTCCAGGTTCTGTGGGAGTTTGGGGTGAAGAGGAGCTTAATAGCTCATAAGGAAGTCATCTATCTTTCAGTCAATACTTTGGGCTACACGTGAATGTCAGGGTCCCAGTCTCCCTAAAGATAGCCCCACCCTCCTTTTCACAGTCTGCTGAATTAATAATTGCTAACCTTGCTTTCAGTGTTCTGCACTGTGCAAAGCTTTGCTATATTAATTTTCACAATAATGCACAGGAGCAAGAATGATCATTGGCAGCCTCACTGTGCAGATAAGGAAACCGAGTCTCAGAGAAATTAATTTGCCCAAATTCACGCAGATGTGAAGTGTTGGCATCCGTATCAGAACCCAGGTTTGAATGATTGGGTTGAATCCATCTGGACTTTACTCCAGTCTGCTGCTTCCCGCGATGAGCTCCAGCCAGGTGGGAGCTCCACAGGAAAGGCCAGGAACCTGTTACTTCACCTTCTTACCCCAGCGCCCACCACAGACATTTCTTCAGGCCTTCTTCACCTTCTTGTCTCTGCACTCCAACTCTAGATTGGAAACACAGGAGAGAGATAGACAGGGAGAGAGGAGAGAGAGAGAGAGAGAGAGAGAGAGAGAGAATCTAAAAACCAAAATGTGTCTGTGCTGAAATCTAAGTAAGTTTAGTTTAAAAAAAATTATGTGATTTCTTTGACAGGAAGCAGAGTTCACATCAAGGGCCCGTGTCTTAATTCACTGTGATGCTTTTTTGTTTTGTACCTCAGAAGAGTCTTAGAGGCAAGACTAGAATGTTAATCTAAAATGAGTGCATCTTTCTTCTGGAGCCATTCCTGCCCAGGAAGGTGATCTTAAACTCCCTTTAAGCTGTTCATCTTCCCTGTGTGATTAGACTGGGTGAGGGGGTCTCTTCATGAGGGTCCCTCAGACTCCCAGCTGCTGACTCCTGCTGAATAGGTAATTCTAACACTCATAGTTATCCATTACCTGTCTAAGCCACCTACTAAACTGTAAGCTTCTGGGTTAACAATGTACAAAATCATTTCTAGCAGTGTTTGGCATATATTTGGAGCCCAATAGACATTTGTTAAAATGTATTGATTGTTCATTGTTTTGATAATACCTACCGTGGTAGATTGCAACACGATACCAATTCCTCAATCCACCCCTCCCTCTATCTCTGCTATGGCTAAGCCCCCACCATATCTCTATTCTTCACACACACACACACACACACACACACACACACACACACACACACACACAGAGTTTCTGACGCTATTGATCTGGGGTGAGACCAGAAAACTCTCAATTACAAAAAAAAAGTTCCAAAGCATACATCCTTCTTTTTTAACTCCAAAGGAAAAAGGAATGAAGGAAGGTCTCGTTCTGCATTGATCCTATTTATTTTCCTTCTCTAAATGTGCACAAGAAGACTAGATTAAAAGTTGGACAGAGGCCACCCAGAAATGATAGCTCAGCTTTTAACGGTTGTTCACCTTCCATCTGATTAAGGATGAGACTGAAAAGTGTTTCTCCTCCTACCAGGCCCAGCTTGACCCAGACCCTCCTAGGCTGGGTCCTTAGCCTCACGGAGCTGGGTCTTTTCAGGGTCCAGGGTCCAGGCTGGGGGCCTGGAGATTCTGAGCTGCTGTCGTTTCCCTCCCTCCCTCCTTCCTTCCTTCTCTCTTGGCAGAGACTGTATCCTGTTGCTCTGAACAAGGCCGGAGAGAAAGGCCAGCAGCAAGTTATTGTGCTGGGAATGAAGACAAATGAGTCCCTTTTCTGTGGGGCTCCTGGCATCCTGTCGGAGGAAGGAAAGGACAATGCTTTGAGCAAGCTGGCTCTGCTGACCCCCTCCTGAAGGGCTCTCCCCTCCCCTTTCCGGTGCAGCGTTTGTCAGCCCCAAAGCCTCCACTTCCTGAGGAATCATTAGATGCACGTGTGAGGTATGTGGTTCCCCCTGCCAGGGCAGATTCCTGGCCCAGCCTCAGGAAGCATAGCTCAAAGAGCCCTGGGCTGGGACCCTGGAACAGTGGAGTCTTGGCTCTTTCTCGCTCTGCCACCCTGGCCACTGCCAGATCACTTCATCCCTGAGCCTCCATTTGGCATTTCTGTAAGTGCTTCCTGTGTGCCTGAAAGTGCCACCTGCATCACTGGTTCCCAAACCTTGCTGTGCACTGAAATCACGTGTGTGTATGTGTGTGTTGGGGGGGGCATGGCAGCCTTCTGCCCTGAATATGCCGAGCCTGCATCTAGGCACATGGAGCATACATTTCGTCCCCCGGACATATTCTGTGATGATTCAGGGCCACTGGAATAAGAGGATTATCCCTCCTCCTCTCCTTACCTAGCTCTTTTCTACCCCTCTCTGATAAATATGTGGGTGAGAGATTGACATGTACAAGGATACAAAAAGCGAAGCAGTAAGGACTAGCAGTTAGAAGAGTGAACCTCACAGACAGGTTCCCGGCAATTACAACACAGGTCCATCACTAGATGTGTGGCTCTGGGCAGAACTTATAGCCATTAGGTACTTCCCTTTATTCATCTGTAAAACAGGGATAATAATAATCATAATAATAACTTCCTAGGATTGTTAGGAGAGTTCATTGTGTGTTATGTTCAAAGCCCTTAAAAGAGTATTTGGGAAATTATAAATACTATATAAGTGTTAATAATACTATAATATTATTATCCTAAAGATATACAGGTCTAGTTCTCCTTCATTGAAGATATAATCAGCATCTTTTCTGGACCTAATATCAACCCAAGCACTGGTGATTTTTTTTTTTTTTTTTTTTTTTAAAGCTGAGCCATCCTGCTACCTGTTGGCAGCTCAGCGGAAGCACTGGTGATTTAAGAAGGAATAAAATGAATGTCCAGCCCTCAAGAAGAGTAAAAGTTACCAGAGACTTTTAGACGCATAAAGAACTAACGATAATACAATATTGTCACAGACTGAGGCCTCCAGGAAGCAAACTCAGAAGGTGTTTAGCCCACAGGACGTTTTTAGGGAGTGCCTGGGGATTAACAGGAGGCCAGGGCAGAAGCAGGACTGACAGAGAGAAGGCAACCCATGTGCAGATCCCACAACAAACTTGGCCGACCCCACCAAGAGCTCTGAAACCAGAGTGACCCTTCACAGTTGTCCAAAGTTAGGCCTGATGGCCAAGTCTTCATACCCCTGCGTTAATCAGTCACTGAATGTGCGCTGCTCCAGGAAGGGGTGTGACTGTGGAGGAAGTGGCTCTCTGGAGCTGAGGGATCTCTGAAGGCTGTCTGTCTGCTGACAGCACTCCCAGCAGCAGCTGGGGTAATAACAGGTTCTTCATTGAAAGGAGATCTGGATGGTGCACAACAGCGGCCACCCCAGATGTGGAATGGACGTTCTGATGACAATAAGTACAGAGGAGTACTTTTAAAGATGAGTAATTGTATTTTTAAACCCCTGATATTTCTATGGCATTGTATATATTTCAAAGCTTACTCACGTCTTTCATTCTAGGGTGTTCAGGCAGGCTGGGAGGCCATATGTTATAAGGCAAAAGCACTGGATTTGGAGCAAGAGGGGACACTGTGAATCCAGCTCTGCCACAGTTTAGATGATAGTCATTGAGCAAGTTTCTCATGTTTTCTGGGTCTACTTTGTGAAAAGGAAATGATCATACATAATTCACAGATTTATTGTAGGGATGCAATTAAGTAGTAGACATAAAACAGTGTCTGGCACATAGTCAGAACTCAAAAAACTAGTAAAAAACAACTTCAAAAGGAGCAACAACAATAAATATTGTCTTCCCTAAATTATACACAAAAATACTGATACAGGCAAGATACTTTCCTAAAACTTCACAGTGGACTATAGGTAGATCTAAGACTATAACTATAGGCCTACTGTGTCCAGTACTATGTAACCCCATAGTTTGTCATCTTGCATATGAAACCCATAGAAGTTGAACAATTCAGGTGTTTTGTTTATGGTTAACATTAGAAGGAACCTTAGAGGTCATTTTATTGTATCCTTCATAAATCCAGGGCTCTACATGGCCTCATCTCTACACTGGGTAGACTATAAATAAGCATAGTTTGGTAGTAATTATGGACAGATTCCCTTTTTTTTTTTTTTCTCTTATGTCTCTTGGGAACTTTAAGGAAGATCAGTTCTCAGCAACACTACTCAAGAAGTCTTTCCTCCCTTATTAATTCATTAAATTAGACTTTTCCAGAACCATACACTGTGGTTCCAGCAAACCACACAGTGTGTGATTCCAGTATTCCAGCAAATACACCCACACTATCTCAAACTTCAGCCTTCAAGACTTTATTTCCTTATCTATCTCTCCTTCTCAACTCTTTATTCCATAGATCAACTCAATTTCCCTGTCATTCTGCCTTTCTAGTTCTCTCTACCCATTTTCCAGATTCAGGATCACATAAATCAAGGACCCATATTAGCAAAGATAGAACTTTCCATAGATGAACTGGGTGTGAGGGAAGGGAAGAAGCAGGCGAGGGGCAGGGAAACTATTTAGAATTGTTAACTGATATAGTATAGAAACCATGGGGGTCAAATACATGGCGATGGAAGGAGAACTGACTGGGTGGTGAGCACACAATCGGATATACAGATGATGTATTACAGAATTGTACACTTGAAACCTATGTAAGTATTAACCATTGTTGCACCAATAAATTTAATTGAATCATAAAAAAAAGAAACCCATGAATCAGAATAAATTGGCCAAAGAATTGAATTAAGTTCCCAGGGGCCCCTTAATGGGCAATGACTTAACTATTTGGTTGCTGAAGGGGAGAAGTCTGAGAAGTCCTGGGGAAGGGCTTGGGATGGCGGAGGTAGCAGAGGGAGCCCGCTCAAGGGGCTCAGATCAGCAGCAATTTATGAATTAGTATGAAAATATTTCAGTTTTCACTATTTGAACAACTGGGACTGTCTTACAGGTAAGTTGCAAACTGTCTTGTCTATCTCTTACGCCTGAGCGCTTACCACCACCTTATGAACCTCGAAAGGCACACAAGGAGTTTGGCTATGGAAAACCATAGCAAGTTGCCTCTTTTCTATCTCTCACAGGTGTTATAGTATACTGAAAAGAACATAGACCTGGAATCAGAAAACCAAGAAACTATTCAACTGCCCCTCACTAGCTCTGAGAACTTGGGCAAGTCTAACCCTCTGAGTTTCAGTTTCACCCTTTATTTAAAGAAAATAATGATACCAATCTCTTGGAATGCAGTGACAATTAAACATCATTACACAGGTAAAAGCCACTGGTAACATGCTTGAAATACAGTGGGTGCTCAGTAAATGCTATTCCCTCTAGTTTCTGTCTCTTGTGGTCTTTTTTTCCTGGTTTCCTATCCCCCTATTCCTAATCCCTTGGGTTCATGTCCCTGAACTGGAGACACCAAGGTCAAAAAGAATTACAAAATCCTTTGGAAACGTGACGGATCACCAAGATGTACAAATTCTTGAGTGGAGCAGGTAGTTCTAACAAAGAAAGTAAAATCCCACTGTCAGTCCCTTTCTGCCCAAGAATGGCAGACCTACCTTCTTCTCTAGCTATAGAGGAAAGTACTACTCAACAGCTTTAGGGTCAAGGTTAACTGCTTTAGGGAGATGACTGAAATAGGCAGAGACCTACTCTATATGACACACACACACACAACACACACACACACACACACANACACACACACACACACACACACACACACACACACCTTTGTTTCTCTGTAAAAAATTTGATAAGACTTGCTAGTTCAATTCTTTGAAACCAGAATCCATAACATTTAAAATTTTGATGATTTTGCCTAACTGCTAATATTGCTTGGTGGTCATTGGTATTTTACATCAAGCCAACTCATGGCTGTTTTGTTTTCCCTTCTCCCCAAAATGATTGCTGCTTTATATCACTTTTATCTTCTTGTGATTAAGAGACCAGGCAAGGATGTTTCCATACAATTCACCTTTCCTTATTGATTTATTTAGTTGATAAGATTCAAGCAAAGGCTAGTTTTTAAAAATGCTATTACATGTAAAATTGGGGAAAGAGTCTTCATCATTTGAACAAATCCTATAGAAGACCAATGTAAAAGGTATCTTGCTTTTAAAAGGTATACATTTGTGACACTCACATATGCTAAATTACTCCATCAGTTCAGTATATTTCCTAGTAGAAGTCAATAGGAACAAATTTACTAAGAACAAATAAGAATGTTCTGTAAATAATCACAGACACCTGCCATTTACTGAGTACTTATTATATGCCATGCTACCCAATATTAATAGCGGAGGGGAGTAGTAATGGAATGTGACAGAGACAATTTTATTAGGACACCTTTCAGGGAGGGCTCTGTGTGTGTCTAGAAAGGACTTTGATAGGCTGCTTAGGGTGGGGCAGAGCTGAGATCCCTAACATTAAACTACCTTCGAAGGAGGATCAGCTGGACAATGTCAGCCTTTGGGGTTTGTTGAGTAGGATGTGCAAGTTTAGATGTAAAATTTGGTCAAGAACTAAATAGGGGTGAGAGACTGAGTGGATCCTAGGAAAATTTGGAAGCGGGAGAATAGAGCTTCACATGGTGAACAAATGAGCAAGTTGAGGGGCGGCACAGAAACGAGATTCAGGAGAAGAAAGATGTCAAAAGAGGATTCCAAGCACTTGTTCTCGGATGTGGAATGTAAATTACCTCCTCTGTCTCCCTGATAAGATTTCCAGGAAAATCCATCTTTGGTGTGAATGAATTTCTCTGTTAAAGAGGCTCTGAGACCTGCATTAAGATTGGTCTGAGACAAGGGTCGGACTGTAAATATGAACTGCTCACATTTGAGAAATAATAAAAAAAAAGATAATAACCATAAGCTTCCTCATTGCTGAGCACTCCTTCAAGTTAAGGTCTTTGTAAATCTTACATCAGTTAATGCGCATTGCTCTACCTTAGCTCAGAGAATTATCCTCCATGATATAACTGAGGACACTATAGCTCAAAGAGGTTAAAGAACTTGCTGAGAATGTTCAGCAATCCGTGGAAAAGTTGGGCTGAGAACAAGGTCTGTCTGACTCCAAAGTTGGTCTGCCTTCCTTCATCGCCATGCTGCCTCTTCAAGAGTAGAGGTGAAGGGCTGCCACCTGAATCAGGCAGTAGCTTTAATAGGATACATTTTCTGTGTGGGACAGTCAATGTGTTTGACCATTTCTAGCCCTGGCTCCTGGGTCTCTGGTGTCCCAGGAGAAGCTATTGATTTCTAGGTCTCTTGTTCATAGGGTGCTTGGGAGGATTAAATAAATTCAGACAAATTTTTTAAAATGCTTAAAGCATTGCCTGGCATTGGAGGTGCTCAATAAATGTTATTCATTATTAGGAAGACCTTTATAGGCATTTTTCATTGAATTCTCACTAACTCATAGGGTGGGCACTATTACTCCCATTTTACAGATAATAAAATGAAGACTCAAAGAGGTTAATTTGCCCAGGTTCACACCAAAGAGCACATTACAGAGCACGAATTCAAGCCCCGAATTGAGGGACTACAGAGCTGTCACTACATCTACTGCCTCCAGCCCCTTCCCTCTGCCTCTGACTCCCAAAGATTCTGGATGTGGGAAACTACAGGCTCCATACTGGTTCTAAGTCTGAAGTCCTCTTACGACTCAAGAATTTGTGCTGGAATCTCTGCACACACTGTGGACTTCCTAGCTTCTGCTCCTCTCTGTATTGCAAGGGGCCAGAGATTGAAGCTGGCAAGCCTGGCTCCTGTAACATCCCATGTTCTGGCATGGATGTGAGCATGCAATGTTTAGTCTATTGTTTGTTTCCAGCAAGTCTGGATTTCAGGCCCTTTTACTGGAGGATTATGATTTAGGAATCCAGAACAAATGGCTTTTCCAAAGCACTCCTGGTCATGTCTCCTGCGTTTATTCATGCTAAGATGTTTTATCATGTTACCTATCCTGACTGATGCAACGCAAAATGTCAAATATCATGGTGGCTGGGATTAAGTGACAGGCAACTCAGAGGTGCTGTGTGCAAAGGCATGCGAAGAAGCACATTCTCACCCCCAAAAAATGTCTTTTGAAATTGAGAACTGTTTGCAGTGACCAAATTGAACGTTCTCAACTATTCATGCCAGTTACAGCTATTCTAAACTTTGACAGAGGCATTGGGAAGTATGTAATAATGGAGTCTTGAGTCTCGCCATTGACTGCAAGGAGATGAAGCCCCACTTCATTACTTACTAGACGTGTGACCCGAGGCAAATAACTTCATTTGTCAAGGCCTTGGTATCCTCATCTATAAAAAGAAAATAATAATAGTATCATTATATTTCATAAGGCTGTTGTGAGGCTTAATGAGCAAGTACATGTGAAATGCTTAGACATGCTTAGACACATGGTAATAACTCACTACTGATTGGCTTTTATTATTCGGGGCCAATGCCTCACAATTCTTTTAGGGATTTAATTATTTGGGTAAAGGCAATTGGCATAATGCTTGGCACAGAGCACATGCTCAATAAGTATTCATCACCAGTAGCATTGCTGTTGTTATTGTTGATGTTATCATTATTAAGCCTGGAGTAGTTTACCTTTTATTCACTTGTTCGTTCATTCACAAACCTGAAGTCTGGTATTGCTCTTAACACTAGAATGTGTCAGACACCATTCCTGGTGTCTGGAAGGTCACACAATCACGGGGGAGGCTAGCTGATTAAGAGAAGGGTCTTAGCCACAGAATGAGAAGATGAACTGGAGCCAGTCAAGGGGCGATTGGTGGAAGCAGGAACTTCCGGGTCAGGAGTAGAGAGCAGGAAAAACTCCACGGACGAAGACACTGAGCTGAGGGTTGAGGGAAGGGTGTGGGGGTTCACTGGAGAGTCCAGGGGGAGAGGTCGGTCACTCCAGGCAGGCTGCCTTGAGATATGAAGCAGCAAATGTTGGATTTAGCAATGGGTTTAGAATGGCTTATGCATCGGGACAAGAACATGGGAAAGGAGTTGAGTGAAGGAAGAGTTGGCTAAGACAGAAGGGTGGAGGCCCTTCTATACACAGTAAGGACGTGGGCTCTATCCCATCTGTAAGTGGAGAGACATACGTGGCCTGTTTGAGGAGTGGGAAGGTCTGTGGGGCTGGAGATTCACAGGGGGAAGGAGAAAGGCTGAAGGGCGGGGTATAGGAAATAATATTGGAGAAAGAGGCCTGAGCACTGGTGTAATAAGCCCCCAATTTTCTTGCTCACCACCCCTCTCCTGATGCTCTGCCTACCTTGAGTGTATCCTGAAGGCCACTGTCACATAGACTAAACCCAGATGAGACCTCAAATGTCCCTCACAGTGGAAAACCTCCATGGCTCCATGTTGACAGCTGCAGGGGCCACTCCCATGGCCTATAGGTTCTCTGGCTTCAGGGCTCCTTATGTCACTATGCCTTAGACACCTCCCCCCCCCACACACACCGCCCTTTACCATAACTCTTCATCCTTCTAAATTTAATTTGTTAAAAATTAAGGGCTGGGCTGGCTGAGTGGCGTGTTGGTTGGGAGTTGGCTTGGGATGCCATCTCTGAGCAGCAGGGCCCCGGTTCAGATCCCACATGAGGGCCAGTGACACTGCACCCTCTACGCTAAGGTGGTGAACAACAGCTCAACCTGGAGCTGGGCTGCCGTGAGTTGCCAGCGATGGTGTAGGCTGCAGTGGGGCTGGCCAGCAGTGGGCATGCACTTTTGTGAGCTGCTGTGAACCACTATGAGCAGCCGTCCAATGGCCAGCGAGCAACTGCCTCACCTGGGCAATGATAATACCAACACGGACCAGTGAAGCGACGTCCTCCACAATTAGACTGAAGAACAAAAGGACAGCAACTTGTCTGTTCTCCTTCCCTGATTCCCCAATAAAATCTTTAAAAAAAAAAAATTAAGGGCCAAGGGCGTGTGATATGACAAGAAGCTAGCATTACTTTGAAGGTTTTGTATTTCATTCTTAGGATGGAAAAAGGAAAAGAGACTTCCCACCCCCTATTTTTTCATTTGGAAAATTTTAAATTTACAGAAAAGTTGCAAGAATAATACACTGGAGCATATGCCCTGCAAGCAGCTCCACTAAGTGTTCACATCTGGCAACATTTGCTTCCTCTCTTTCTCTGTGTGTGTGTGTGCTTATCCATTTTAAGTTTTTGCTGAACCATTTCAATATTAGTTGCAGACATCATGATAGTTGGCCCCAAAATACTTCGGTGTGGATCTCTTAAAAACAACGGAATGGGAATATTTTATATAACTGCAATTTTCATACTTAGGAAACTTACATTGCTAATGTACAATACATATTTATATTAATGTAATATACTATAAATTTTATACTATCATATAACATGCAAACTATATTCAAATTTCCCGAATTGTCCTCAAACTGTTCTTGATATCTGTCCTGTTTTGTTTATCCAAGATCCAATCAAGGAACATGCATTTTAACGATCATGTTTTTTAGTCTTCTTCATCTAGAATAATTCCCCAGCATTTTTTTTTTTAAGTTTTTCATGCCGGTGAAATGTTTGAAGAGTCTAGGCCAGTTAATGTGCAGAATGTTCCTCATTTTGAATTTGTTTGATTATTTCCTCTTAATTATATCCAGGTTAATAAGTTTTGTCATGACTGCTATACAGATGATGTTGAATCCGTCTCAGTGCCACATATCAGTGGTCACTGGATGTCCCATTGTTGGTGATACTGCCTTTGATCATCTGGCTAAATGAAGTCCACCAGCTCTCTCTACTGTGGAGGTAGCTTTATGCCTTTGAAATTGATAAATAACCTCTATAATGGTAGTTTGGGACTGTGAATATCCTGTTCCCCAACATTTTTTCACCTAATGGTTTTCATATCCATTGATGATTCTTGTTTGAATCCACTATTATTTATGGTGGTTGTAAAATGGTGATTTTCTATCTTTAGCTTTCCTGCTATATTTCTTATTTGATGCTATTTAGTAAGGAAGAGCTTACTTTCCTTGCCACCCACCTCCAGGACATATCTCTAGTTCTGACATTCTTGGCGCTTGGGTTACACTGTCCAAGATTCAAATTCCATTCAAATTCAAAGTCCATTTGGGGAAGGTGATGCAACTTAATTCTCAGTTTCAGGAAGGCTGGAGGAGGGGTCATTCCTCAAAGAAAACTTGAGGTGTAATCGTTAAAGCTGGGAGAAATGGAAGCCAGGCAGGCAAAAGCAACAGATACCCATTATAGCAAGAAGTAAATATTGGTAGGACTGCTTCTCATCCCTGCATGAGATATCCTAGTCCCCAAAATAGCAGTGGTTTAAAAACAATACAAAAAAAAATCTTACATCAAAATGTTAGTAAGCTGTTCAGGAGAGTTCAGGGCTCATAGTGGCCCAGACTCCTAGCCTGTGCTTTACTGTGTGTGGCTTTAATTCCCAGGGTTACCTCTTGATCTCTGATGCTCCTCTAGCTCAAGTTTTCACCACTATATTCCAACTAAAGGCAGGGAAAAAAAAGTAGAAGAAAGTTGTAAGGATATTCCTGGAAGTTGGACATACCATTTCTGCTGGCTTTCCACCAAGCAAAGCTTAGTCACATGGCTATACCTACAAATTGGGGAAATGTGGTCTTTATTCCAGACAGCCATTTGACCATCTAAGAACTGGGGGGTTCTATTAGTATAGAGGAAGGGGGAACCAAACTGAGAATAATTAACAATATCTTCCACAGATTCCACAGGTACATGCTCATTTTAAAGGTGCGAACAAACAAAGCTCAGTGAAATTGAACAGCCTGTTAAAGGTTACATAGACAGTCAATTATTGTGTCTGATTCCAAACACTAGTTACAGTGATTCTGATTTTGTCTCCTTTGATCCTCATTCTAACTCTATATGTCAATATCATTGCGTTAGGTTGCCTTCTCTGTGGAGTGAGTTGCAGCCACATGACATAATGACTCTAGTGATATCAGGTCTTTCTTAGAAATGTGCTGTTCATTTCTGGCCAATGTTCCCTAGACAACCACCATGGACAGCTGAAGTCCTGATATGTACGTGACAGTGACAAGAGATGCAGATGGAAAAATAGAATGACAGTGGGTGTGTGTTGGAAAGTACCCCAGCCTGGGAGCCTGGATACCGAGCTTCTGGTCCCGGCTCTATCACTCATTGATTGTGTGATCCTGATCAGATCAGGACCCACTGATCCTCAGTTCCCTCCTCCGTGTGTTCCCTCCAGCTCTGATTCTTTCTCATTTTAGGTAATATCTGCTTGCATGATGACTCAAACTGGGATCTGTATTATAAAAGTATTTAAAGCCTCCACTTTTCTATGTGGTACAATTTTAGCATCTGTTGAATTGCAGGGCCTGCCTTGCTAATTGGGTTTGCATTTTGCTTTTGTAAAATCTTGTGTGATTAATGGAAATGTTCATTAACCAGAAGCTCTATGAGAGCAGGAATCGTGTTTGATTTTCTTGCTGTTACATCCCCAGCAACTGTCACAGCCCCTGGCACATGGTGAGCTCTACAATATTGACTGACTTATTGACTGACCTAGACAATGTCCTTGCTAGACAGGTGCGACAAATCATTCCCTCCCTCCCTCTTCTCAAGAGCAAGCATCAGCCTCAAGGGAAAGAATCAGGAAACTAGGATTCACACAGGACTTAGTTTGCAGTTTACCTTATTTACTATTCACAGTAACTCATCAAGGAAACTATTATAATCCCCCTTTTCTATGGATAAGCAGGCTGAGATTCAGGAGGATAAAGTAACTTGTTTAAGATTACAGAATTTCTAATAAGAAATGCTTAGAAATTATACAAAGAAAGCTATAAATCACGCCTGAAAGATATAAAAGTACTTATGCCATGTGCTGTTATTGCTCATAGCCATTCACAAGGCCATCCCAAATTCGAGGGGGGAAGAAATAGATTCCACCTTTTGCTGGAGGAGCAGCAAATAATGTGTGGCCATAAAAATCTCCCAGAAGTATGCGCATTTCCATGAATGGATGTGGAGTGACTTCCAGGAAAAAAAAAAAAAAAGCAAAGTGCAAAAGTGTATATATAGGGCACTACCTTTTGTGTAAGGAATGAGGAGACATAAGAAAACACAAATGGGGGCCGGCCAAGTGGCTCAGCTGGTTAAGATCTCGCTCAAGAGTGTGAGCTCTGAGCAACAGCGGTTCGATTCCCGGCACGAGCTGAGCTGCTGCTGAACTGCCAACAGGTGTCAGGATGGCTCAGCTAAAAAAAACCAAAAAACCAAAAAAATAAAACCGAAAGAAAACACAAATGTATTTATCTGTTTACTTTTGCAAAAAGAAATACAGGAATGGTAAACTAGAAAGCAGTAAAGTTGGTTACCCACAAGGGGTTGAGGGAACGAGGCGGAAAGGATTAGGGAGGAAGGAAGAACACATCTCTGTATAGTTTTGACTTTGGAAGCATGTTAATGTTCTAAATAGTCAAAAACCAAAATTAAATCAACAAGGAAACATGTAAAATTGAATTCAGAAATAAATGAGCCCCATAATTCCTCCAGATACTCTACATAACACATTGGTAAACTGAAAAAAATGGAATACAGGCTGTATATAAAAGTATTCTATTAATTTTAGAGTTCCTGAAATGACACTGAGGTTTTATAAGAAAATATCCTTGTTCCTTGGTAATACACAGGAAAATACTAACAGGCATAATGTATGGGGCACGATATATACAATCTACTTTCAAATGGTTCCAAAACACAAATTGTATATTAATATGTAATATTAAAGTGTCCCAAAAATCTTTCTGCAGTTTTAGGCTTCAATAACTTTAGAAGTATAAATACTACCAACTTAAAAACAGTATCATTTTAAAGTTTACTTTTATTTCTTTTACATTTATTTAGTTTTGTGACTTGTGAATAATGTTTTATTTAAGTTTTTTGTTTAAGAATGTAGTTTTTTTGTGTGGATTAATGTTTGTCATCTTTAATCTGGAAGGACTGACTGAAACCAAAAAATTGAAAGAGAAAGAGAATGAGATACAAAATTTGGCAAAATGTTAAAAACTAGTGAATCTGAGCAAAGGGCACCCAGGAGTTCTCTGTATTATTTCTGAAACATTTCTGTTAGTTTAGAATTATTTCAAAATATTTTTTTAAAATAAATAAAGATTATACAGTTGGTAAGTGAACAAGGTATCGTTGTTTGGTTCCTAGAGTTGTCTGATATCAAAGCACAAGTTTATGCTCCTTCGTGGCACTGTCTTTCATTTTGAGTAGGAGGGATGGAGTCACACCGACCTGTGCTCACTCTCTAATCACTGAGCCCCGTCAGAACCACGGGCAACACTGGCCAGGACTGGGAAGTCAGCCTGCAGCTTTGGAGTGGAGGAGGGGAAAAGGGTCCCACTGCCCTTGGTTTTGAGGGTCTCATTCTCTAACCCACCGAGCTAACCAACTCCAGACCTTTCTCTACAGAGAACTGTGTAATAGCCGTGTAAAAGCGATGAAGGGGATTGCTTTGGAAACTTGTGTAAATAACTCTTTTGGCAGGAGAAGGATTGCCGACACCTGCTTTTTGTTTTCTGGTATTTATTAGAGTCACCCTGTGAGGGACCTCTAAGCTTCCTGGATCTTATTCATTTATCTGAGTTCATTCTTGGTTCAGGGTCTGCACTGTTGGGGGTGTAGAAAAAGTTGGTAAGGATCAGAAGTAGGTCACTGACTCTGGGTTTTCAGTAGTGAGTGTGGTTCAGATATCCCCAACTAGACAATAATGATCATGAGGCCAAATCTGATTGTTCCATGCTTTTCCTAACCCATTCCTTCCAATTCTCCTCTCCTCATAGTCATTTATTAATATATCTACCCAGCAATCTATCCTTCCACCCACCCATGACCCAGTGATAATAATTAGGCCCAAACCATGATAGGCATTGTGCTAGATGCTGGGAATATAGTGATAAATAAGACTGGTCCATGCCTTCAGGAAGAGAAAGGGACAAACAACTTAGTACAGCATGGTCAGTGCTGTGATAGTCATCGATACAGGGCACCAGAGCAGAGGGGCACCTCGCCAAGCCTGGTGAGGTCAATCCAGGGAAGTCTTTGGATCTGAAAAATGGTGGGAGTGGTGTGGTTAGGCAGAAGAATAGCATGAGCAAAGACAGAGTAACCTAAACTCTTGCTACTCAAAAGTGTGATCCACTGATTAGCAGATGTGGCATCACCTGGAGTTTATTAGAAATGCAGACGCGGACCCCACCCCTGAATCAGATTCTGCATATTAACAAGATCCTATGCACAGTGATATTTAGGAAGCACTCATCTAAATGCCATTTCTTGGGGAAATTACCCACAGTTTCCAGGCGTTGCCCTCCTAGTTGAGAACTCCCTTCTCTCCATCGTAGACTTGAAGATTCAGCTCTGGGCTCTCCTTCCTGTCCCTAACTTGTTTCAAACACCAACATCTCCATCTTAAGGTTTCTGGGAAATGAGTTCCTTCCTCTGGAAGAGTTGCTATGTCTAGTTTCCTTCTAGCTATATCACTGTCTGTACTTTTTGACCGAGTAATTCCACTCTGAGAACATTTACCCAAGGGGGGAAAAAATCATTTATACTCAGATGTTAGATGTTTACAGCCGTGTCATCTTCAATCATAAACAATCAAAGGAGAAACAGCCCAAATACCCAGCCACGCACAGGCGTGGGGCAGGGAGCTGGTTTTCCCTGAGTGCACTCGAGGACAGCCAGGCTGCCTCCAGGGACAAGTCAGGATGTCATGGAAAGTGCCTTGGCTGGGCAGTCAGGACACCTGGGTCTACTTATAGTTCCATCCCTCTAGACTGGATCCCCCATTTGTCTGAGTGCTTCAGATTCTCCTGGGATCTCTAAGCTTTGACATTCAATCTTTGCTCCTTCTTGCCCCAAATCCTCCCCGCATAAGCCTGCCTTTCCACACAGAGAGGACAGGCTCAGAACTCAAAGACCCTTTGAGGGGGATGTGGGGGGGGAGCAGCGTGGAAACAAAGATTTGAGCAGAGCCCACAGTAACTATTAAAGGAAGAGAGAGAAAAACCAACACGTATTGAACTCGGTGTAGGCTCTGTGACACACTCATCATAGCTAATGTTTACTCAATGCTTGCTGTTTGCCAGACCCTGTGTTAAAGTGCTTTATGTGAATTAACTCATTTAATCCTCATAGCAACACTATAAAGCAGGAGCGATTAGTCCCCCATTTTCCAGATAAGGTTTAGGAACACGTCCAAAATGACTCTGCTAGAGGTGGCAGAAGCAGGATTCAAACCCTCGTTGTTTGACTCCAGGGGTCACACACTGAAGCCCTAACCCCATGGTGATGCCCCCAGTCAGCAGCATAAGCATCACCTGGCAACTGGTTAGGAAGGCAATGTATCCCAGAACCACTGAATCAGGAACTTGGGGACAGGTCCAGCAATGTCGATTTTAAAAGCTCCCTGACCCAGGTGACTCAGATGCCTGA